ACGAATTTAGGGGGACACGTAATTCAGTCCCTCACAGAAGGTCAGTGTTAGAAAGTGACGGTGAGGTGAAAAGAAAAGAGGAAGAGCACAGTGAGGGGTCAGGCTGCAGCATAGATAGAGTGGTCAGGGTGGGGGCTTTTTTGAAAAGTTGACATTTGAACACAAACCTGAAGAAGTGGAAGGCCTGACCTGAGCCACACAGATACTGGAGAAAGAACATTCCAGGCAGAGGGAACAGCCAGGGCAAAGGTGAGATGTGCCAGATGGATCCAAGAACAGCTGGGGGGTGCAGGGGGAGCAGCGGGTGGGTAAGGGTAGGGCCAGAGGGTGTCAGCCCCGCAGGCAAATGTGGGACCTTGGGTTTGAGTTTTCAAAACCATCGAGGGGTTTTAAGCAAAGGTCTTGAAAGAATGGCTCAGGCTGCCGGGCTGGGCACAGGAGACACTGATGTTGACAGTGGTCCCAGTGTGTGTGGGAAGTGTTCAGGGTCTGAATACACTTCGAAATCAGGATTAACCGCTAGGCAGGATGTGGCATGGCAGAGAGAGAGAGAGAGAGAAGAATCTAGGCTTTTCGCTCAAGAAGCTGGAAGGATGGCATAACCACCAGCCAAAACAGTGAGGGCTGCGGGGAGGGTCAGGACGGCAGCTTAGACTCATTAAATGTGACATGAGGGGCTGGCCCTCGTGTCCCCATTGCACCTCTCCAGTTTAGGGAGGCTGCTGGGCTCTGCCCGGATTTCGTCTCCCTTCCTGCCAAGCTCCCAGGCAATATGCGGGGCAGTTTTAGGGCTTCATTTATTTGTTTCACGACTCTGAGGCATCACTGTCCTTTGTTATCTGAGGTACAAGGTCTTGTGTGTCATTGTTTCATATATATTTTTTTCAGTCTTTAGCTGTTTCCGGCAGGTGGGTAAATCTGATTTCTTTTATTCTCTCTCAACTAGAAGTGGAAGTCTTCTGATGCTCTATTTTGTAATTAGTCTTATCAACCACTCATTCCCCCATGGGCACCCTTTCTAGATATGCAAAAACCCAACTCAGCGGTCACCTTTTCTGGTAAAATTTCCCTAATCCTCCTTTTACTCCTCACATTACCTCTGGTGAATTTTACTGTTTCCTCTCTGATTTGGCATTATTTTCTGTGTGTATCCATTGTAGCATTTGTCA